GTAAGTCTCACCTCTCTGACCCTCAGTTTTCTCACCTGTCAAATGGAGATAATGATAAAACCACTTCACATTACCACAAGAAGCATGTGAAGAGAGTGCTCAGTAGATGCAGCATCAGCATTGGTTATGATCAGCATTATTATTGCCTGCTGTTATTCCACATCTGGCAATGCACTGGTCATCCAAGTGCCTTTCACTCTAAGACCCTCAGGCTCTGGGGCTCCCACCTGGCTGCCCCTTGGACATATCAGAACCTCAGCGTCAATTCCCTTGAATGCCCCTTCTAAAGCTCCTGTGGACATGGTCTGGGTCATCACCGTGAAGCTGGGAGCTTGGCCATTCTGACTATCCAAGGCAGACAGAAAGAAACAAGGGAGAAAAAGAAGAGAGAGCGAGAAGGAAGGCCTGGTCAGGGAGGCCTGACTCCTACTATAGATCTATCTTAAAGGTGTCATGCCCCAACCCTGCCAGGCTTCTTCAGAAAAGCAAGGAGGGAATCCTGCCCTTCAAAGGCAAAACAAGAGACTGTACCATTGGAGAAGGTGCATGGTTTCAGGCTCTGCGTAATTCTGACTTGGGCCTGGATGTCAGGAGATGCAGATTCCACCACTCACTGTTTCCCTAACTTGCTGTATGACCCCAGGCATTATTTTCCCCTCTGGGCCTCAGTTTCCCAGTCTGTCAAGTGAGCATAACATCTACCCTAGGTGGCTCACGGTGTGCTAAGAAGGTGAGAGTGATTTGTAAAACGTGAAAATCTAGGCAGACTTTTCGGTAGTTAGGAATTCAGATCATGTTCTCAGAGTGAATGGGGTGTGCATCCCGGCCGGGCTGTAGAGGCAAGTCACTTGCCCTGTTTGGACCTTAGTGAAATGGATCTTTCTGTAGGATTCTTGAGAAGAATACACATGTGTGAAAGGCTCAAAACAGGAGCAATGATGGCCATTACCCCCACCCCATGGTCATGTCCTTTGTGGGTATTTACAGCCATCCCCAAGTTCAGTGCAAGGTTACAGCTCATTTCCATAAGGACTGAGCAAGTCCAAGCACCAGCATTAGCACCGGATGTTTGTAGAGCCTTACAGTCTTTCACATCCATTTTCTCTTCTTAGGAAAAGCAAACAAAGGAATGAGCGGTTTAGCTTCATAGCCTATCACTCCACCCCAACACATGGTTTTAACTCAAGGAGTTCAGACCTGTGTTTTTTCCCAGCTGTCATTGGTGCTATGATCTTTTTAAATAGACTCAAATCCCAAATTCAACAGTCATGGAAAGGGTTTAACAAGGCACTGAGGTCTCTTCCTGCCCTCCCTTCTCCTGTGCGCAGGCCTGACAGTAAAGAGTAATGTTGGCCGTTGATCAAATCATCTGAGCCTCCTTTTTCTGCTCCTGCCCTGGAGTCCTAGATTATTTTGGTTGTATTGCTAATTCCAGAAACAAGTTAAAATTTTAAAACATGTTTTCTTTTTACATCAAATCTACCCCCATTTTCTCAACCATCAGCCCCACCACTTCCACTACTCCCACCTCCATAACCTCACTCAACCCCATCATCTCTACCACCTCCATCACCTTGACCAACACTACCACCTCAACCAACTCCTCTACCACTTCCATCATCTCACTCAACTCCACTATCTCCATCACCTCCATCACTTCACTCAACTCTATCACCTCCATCATCTCCTCAAGTCCATCTCCACCACATCTGTCAATTCTACTACCTCCTCCACCACCACCAACTATATCACATATTCCATCTTCACAATGACTTTTTTTTAATTGAATTTATTGGAGTGACACTGGTTAATAAAATTATATGTTTCAGGTATACAATTCTACAATATGTCATCTGCACATTTCACCATGATTTTCACAGCTTCTTCTATCACCTCATCACCTTGATCTCCTCTACCTTCTTTGACGGCATCATTTTTCCCACATCCACTATCATTTCCACCATCATCACCTCTCCATTACCATTTCTATCACTGTTACCATAGACAGTCAGTCAGAGTGTGGGGAAGTCTTCCCCACTGGCCAAGATGGCACAAATGGAGGTTCTTACACTGAGTTCTCCAAAAGCTAGAAAGATGAATGAATAGGACCTGAGTGTGCCAAAAGCTAGTAAGGTAATTGGATGGGGGAGGGGGGGAGGCCCTTTCCTCCCTGTCCTTATAAGAACCCCAGGTTTGAGCAGGAAGGGGGATAGTCTTCAAGATGGGAGTCCACCACTTTCCCAGGTCACTCGACACCTGAATAAAACCTCTTTCCTTTTGCACCAGCACCTGCCTCATGAGTTTGGCTTTCATTGCATCAGGCAGCTGAACCTGTGTTTTCAGTTAACCATCAGGGATCCATAAAGTTTATTAAGAGCTCAGGTAAAAAAGTTCTACCACAGATTTTCCATTCCAGAGGCATAAGTACTTCTCTACAAAAGGCCGGAAGCTTAAGGACTCTGTGGTGGCTCAGAGCTAAAAAGGTTATTTGAAAGAATCAAATTCAATTCCTGATTTAGGAAACTGAGGTACACCCTAGGCCCTTGCCTGAAAGTGTGCATAATCTAATTCCATACTGTGGGCATTAAAAGATGAAACTAAAACAAAGCAAATGCTGCAAATTTGGTTAGGTGTATGAAAGTGCTTAGAGAGTGTGAAAACACTATGTAAGACAATGATGGGGGGAAATGAGTTTAACATCCTTAGAGCCTTTCCACATCACCTAATTGAAATTCATGCATTCCTATCTTCAAAATATGTGCATTAAACACCCTCTGTGTGCAGGCACCACTTGGCTCATTTAACAACTAAAACCAAACCTTCTTGCATGATTGATATATATATATATATATATTTTTTATCCTCACCCAAAGACATTTTTCCATTTGTGTTCAGATAGAGTGGGAGGGGGAGAGAGAGAAACATCAATGTGAAAGGGACACATCGAGTGGCCACTTTCTGCACAACCCCGACTGGGGCCAGGGACAAACTGCAGCCAAAGTACGTGAACCAAACCCAGGTCTCTCTGGACCGTGGGCGGAGGCTCTAACCACTTAGCAACCCGCCAGGGCACATGTCATATATTTTTAGTGAGCACCTAATATACACCAGGAGTTCTGTTGGGTGCAGGCCCTCAGGTATCCAGAAACCTACCAGCCTTCCAATAATATATCAATAAGGAGATAGAGGTCAGGGATTAAGTTCTCACCCCAGTGAGAAGCTGGAGAAACTGGGATGTCTTTTTTCTACTTCTGTGTCCTTTGGCAGCACATTTGGCCAAAGAGAAATTGGGTGGGTTATCTAGGGCAGTGTGTCTCCATTTGTGATCATCTGAAGATCTAGTTAAAATGCAGATGCTGGTTCGGTGGGTCTGGGGTGGGGTCTGAGGTTCCGCATTTCTAACAAGCTCCTGAGTGGCACCCATGCTTAGAGCCCAGAGGTATTTCATCTATGCAATGAAAACATCTGGTAATCTAGGACCACCTGACAGAAAGAATGGCAGTCAGAGCATCTCTTACCCTGGCCCTTCTGTACCTCATATTGGGACACTACACCCTTTATTCCCTAAGCCAACCACTTCAGTCTCGTGGAACAGGCTATGCCTTTCACACCTCTAAATCTTTGCCCAAACTATTCCCTCTACCTGAAAGGCCTTTCCTTTGCTTGAAGCCCCTCCACTTGGGAGCCATGTCAGAGTTCCCATAAGCCCCTGTGCAGTCCTCTCCCCATCCTGGCACTTGTCCCAGGAAGCAGAACTATCTGCCTACGCTTGCATGGACAATCAGCCCCCAGCTTGAGGTGGAGGCTCGGTGGGGGTGTCCATAATTGCCTAGCACTAGGCCTGGTCCCAGGGAGGTGCTGGTCACACAGTGCACTAAGCGAACAAAATCAGACTGGACATCAACCAGGTCTCCCTTTCAACATCACCTCCGCAGGGAGGCCTCCCTTAATCATCCATCCTCTACTCCAGTGGTTCTCAAACTTCAGTGTGCTTCAGAAGGACCTTGGGGGTTTGTTAAACCGGGATTTCTGATTCCATAAGTCTGGGGAGGGTCTCGAGAATGTGCATTTTTAACAATTCCCATGCTGGTTCGCACACTTTTTGAGAGCCATTGCTCTGCCCCATTACCCCGGTTTGATCTCCCTCAAGGCACTCTCTGAAATGATATTCACTGCTTATCTGTCTCGTGTCTCCCATCTAAGCTCCATGAGGGCAAGAATTTGGGGCTGTCTTGTTGGGCATTCAACACAGCGTCTGGCGCAGGACTGAATGAAAGTCCGTGAAAATGAAAATAAAGATGGACGGTCCGTTTGGCAAAGGGACGAGGAAGTCCCCAGAAGACCAACTCGCCGGCTTCCCCCCACCCCGATGCTAGTCCCTTGAACCTCACGCGGCTTCCCGAGTCCCCATGGCCACGGTCCCTTTAAATGTGCACGGGGACGCCTCGCCCCTCGGCTCCCTCGATCCCTGACAGAGCAGAAAGGGAAAAAAAAAAGCCTTCCTCTTCGAGAGCGGGAGGAAACGTCTAGGAGGGGGCGGAGGCGCGGCGGCGGCGGCAGCAGCGCCGGCAGAGGCGCCGCGGCTGGAGCGCAGCGCGCCCGGCGAGGAGCCCGGAGCCCGGAGCCCGGAGCGGACGCGACGCCGCGCGCTGCTAGGGCCACCGCCCCCCACGCGGCGCGCTAGCGCCCCCTCCCCGCCCAGCCCGCGCGGCCCCGCCCAGCCCCGGAGGCTCGAGCCCCGCGCCCCCACTTGCCCAGCGCCCCGCGCTGAGGCGACGCCGAGTGCTGTCCCGGCTGCCGCCTCGCGCGCCCTGCGCTCGCGCCCCCTCCCCGGCCGCGCCCAACCCTGGAGGCTCCGCGCCCCGCGCCCCCACTGGCCCTGCGCCCCTCAGGGAGTCCGGCGCGCGCGGGGGGGCGGGGCGGGCGCCAGGGGGTGCGGGACCGGCTGGGAGGCGATGGAGTGAGGCGGCACGCGGACTCGCGCTCGACCGACTGACGGACCGACGGGCGGCCCCGGGCTCCTCGCGCTGGAAGATGAACAGAGCAGGTAGGAGGCTTCGCGGACCGCGGGCGCGGAGGGCCGCGCGAGAGGGGGCCCCGGCCGGGAGCTCCAAGTTGAAGCCCGCGGGGCGCCTGGAGCGACGGCCGAGAATCCCCCGACCTTCCTACTCTGCCTGGCTTCGGTCGAGATATGGGCGGGTCCGGAGTCTCCCCCGAGGAGGCTGAGAATCATCTGGGGCCCCTGTCCGAGTCGCCCCGCCTCAGGGACGCCCCCTTAGCCTCGGCGAGGCCTCACCCTGGCCATGTATGCCCTCATCCCACTTCTAAGGCGGCCCCCAGAACGGGGTGCCCTCGGCAGCGAAGAAAGACGCCCCCTTGGCAGAGGCAACTTGACTGCGCCCCTACACCCTCATCCCGCTCCTCGAGGTCCCCGCCAGGCCCTCGCTGGCCCCTCAGGGACTCCTCCTGCCACGCGGGATCCGTCCGTGCTGCGCCCCACACCGGGGTTATCCCTGGTCCTTCATCACTTGGCGGCGCAAGCTGCTCTGTTCCCAGACCCGGAGACTCGGAGCTGACTCTCCGGACAGGACCGAACAGCCCTAAATCCCCGCACCCCCGCGCGCAGCGCCCCCTCCCTGGCAGCGCCCCGGCCTGGGCGCTCTTGGTGCCTCCCGCAGGGGACCGAACGCCCGGGGGCACTGCCCGTCTGGCTGAGCCGCGCTCCAGGCGTCCCCGCCCGCCCCTCCGTCTCTGCCTGCGCGTCGGCGGCGGCTCAGGGGTTCCGCGCAGACCAGGGAGCGTTTCCCAGTGAATGGTAGCGACCTCTCCAGAGGAATGCCATTTAACAGATTGTGCGACTGAGACTCCGAGATGGGCGGCGCCTGGAGCCCAGTTCCCGGGATTCCTGACTCCATCCCCAGGGAAGGCAGAAAGTTCCTTCAAAGACGGGAGTTGGCCAGGGAACAGTCCCAGCTAACTTGCTTCATCCTCCCGCTAAGGAGAGATGGTCGCTCCTTTTCCTCCCAGCGTCTTAGAATTCAGCAAAAGGCCTCGCTCCCCAACCAACACCCTTGTCTGAAGCCATACTCCAAAACAGACATCCCTAAAGAAACAGGAAGCCACCATTTTGGCTGTCTTAGAACCATATCCTGCTGCTGTGGCGGTGTGTGTGTGTGTGTGTGTGTGTGTGTGTGTGTGGTGGGTTTTTCCTTTTTAAAACATTTTAAATGAAAAAAGTCATTGTCTTAGGAGCGAAGTGCAGAGAGGAGACATTGGCTGGACTGACCTGAAAAAAGGAGCCACTTGGGGACTTAGCAGTGTGGTAGCGGCCTCCCTGTGTCCAGGCCCAGTTGTTGCTGAGCAAGTGGACACCTGCGAGTTAGAGTGTGGGGCACAGGATGTCAGGGAGAGGTAGGAGTAGGGGTACCACTTTGTGGGACTGGAGAAGGGTCCCAGTGCCCACCCAGCCACTCCTCGGAGGAAGAAGGTCGCCTCCTGCCTGTTCTGGCACAGCCTGGTCAGAGCCAGGCTAGCTTTTCCTACTCTCCTAATAAAACTTGTTTTAAAACAATGGTGAGAGCGGTTCCAGTTTTCCCACATTTCCCTGCATGAGGCTCGGGCAAGCCCTCCCTTCTCTGAGAATCGGAAGGATGGAGTGAGCTGGAATAAACTGAGGGGCTTGTTTGGTCCTAGTAAATCTTAGCAGTTGCCACTGTTGGGTTCAGCCATCCTGTAATTTGTCTCCAGCATAAACCTGGTTCCTTTTTCTGTGTGAAGGCAATGGTGGAAACCTCACATAATGATTTTTGTGTGCCATGTAGCATAATGGTTTACAGACTCCATGGGACTGAATCTCACAACCACCATATACTTAATTTTATGACCCTGAGCAGCTTAACCTCTCTGTACCCTAGTTTCTTCATCTGAAAAATGGAGATAAGATCTTAGTCACTGAGTTCTCATGATTCAATAAAATAAAGCATGTAAGGTGCCTGGAATGGTGTCCGTCACATTATAAGTGACCAATAAAATACCACCTAATATTTATTGGGTACTTACTTCCTGTGAATCAGGTACTGCTTAAAGTGTTTTAGTTATGTCAGTTTGGTTTTCACACTGACCTGGCAAGGTGAGTACTCTTGCTCTCTTCATTTTATAGATGGGAAAACTGAGCTACAGGGATTTAATAGTCACTGACTTAATGCAGAGCCAAGATAAGATTGAAACACACTCTGTCCTGCTTGAGAACTTTCTTTTTAATCTAGTGCCTAACCATCTACGGCCATACCACCCTGAACGCGCCCGATCTCGTCTAATCTAGTGCCTAACACATAGTAGGTACACAGCAAACGTTTGCCAGTTGACTTTATTAGTCATCTTATGTCTGTTATTTCTCCTGAACTTCTCAACAGCCTTAAGAAAAAAGGGGGTATTTCTTCCTTGTTACCAAGAAAGAAACTGAGGCTCAGAGAGGCAAAATATTGTGCCCAAGATCATCAGCTGATATATGGCAGAGCTGGGATTGAAGTCCAGGTATATCTGAGCCTAAGGTCCATTCTCTTCCATCTCTATCCCATGATGTCTTCCCAGTAAAAGCCCTGTCGTGGATCACTGGACTAGCTTAACAGCAGCTTAATTAGAAATCATCAGGCTTGGCGTGGACATTCCAGCAGGCACCCAGGAATGAAAGTTAAATTAAGATGCAATTGGAAGGTGAAATTGGAAGATAATTACTCTTGGAACATATGGTTATGAGAGTTCCAGGGGGAGTATAGTGAACTGCAGTTGAAACAGGCTCAGGGACTAAAAACAGGGATGTCAGGGGACATCATAAAAAGAGCCATGAGTTCAATAGGCTGTAGTCAGCCAGAGCAGAAGGCACTTACTGACTGGTGCAGTTTCCTCATTCTACAGTTGGGGAAACTGAGGCTCAGGGAGGAGAAGAGACTTGTCCAAGGTCACACCTCCAATTAAGGGCAGAGCCAGGAGTGGAGATCAGAGCTCAACTCCCAGTCCAGTGCTCCTTCCAATACCCCTTCTAATTGAACCTCTACATAGCTGACAAGGGAGCAGTAAGCATGAATGTGTGAGTGACAGATATTTAATTAAAACAGAGAAAAAAATATAAATGTATTGGGGGCTGGCTGGGGATGATTTCTATCACCAGAAGCTGTTAAAAACCTCTTCCTCCTGTCACTGTGGTTCCCCTACCCCCAGTTAACTCTTGGCATCTTGGCTTGAAGGGTATTCAAGTCATTCTCAGGCAGAGCAAACTGCCAGGAGGTCCTGGGCATTGATAACTCAGGCTAAGGGGGTCGTAACCCCCAGGCTGTGATACAGGGAGAAAGAAGATTCATGCAGCAGCCAGAAGGAGTCAGGAGACAGCAGAAGTTCACCAGCTCCATCCATGCTGTGCTTTAGGCAGTCAGAAAGTTAAGTTTAACCCAGAGGAGGAACCCTCAGCTCTGATTTATCCCCTAATTCTCCTACCCCCGCCATACTCAAGCTCAGCCAAACTGGACTCTTTACCATACTCCCAAAGGGCTTTGCATCTGAGTCTGGGTCTCTTCACACTCTATTCCCTTTGCCTGGAATACTCAACCCCTTTTCAATTGTGAAATCCTCCCTGTCCTTCAACGTGCGCCCCAGCGCTACCTCTTCCCTGAGCGTTCTCCAGGCAAAGCAGGGTCTGAGACCCAGATAACTTTGCACCAAGGGCAGGGGCTCTATCTAGTTTCTTTTTGTGAGGGAGGCAGAGAGGGAGCAGAGCTGAAAGCCTTTACAGTCCCTTCATTTTCTTTGCTCCCTTCTCAGTAATCTTTGCTGGCTCCTTTCTCCCTCCTTGGTCCTGCTCTTTGCTCAGTCCAAACTCCTTCACTTGGTGATCTTACCAGGTTCATGCCTTGACTTCCATCACTAATGGCCAGACCTCTCCCAGAACCCAGACTGGAATACCCAAGGACCCAGTTGACATCTCCACCATGGTGTGTGTGAAAGGTAACTTGGATCTAACATGTGCAATCTGAAATTCTGATCTCCCTCCCTAGCACATGCAGGCTTCGCATTTCCAGTTGCTCCAACTCAAAACCTTGGTGTTGTCCTTGACTTCTCTTTTACTCTTACATCCCATATCCAGATTGTCAGCATATTCAGCCAACCATATCTTCCTATTTGGAATCTGACTTTTTTTGACCACTCCCACTGCTACCAACTTGTTTCAAACCTCCATCATCTCTTGCCTGGATTATTGCAGAAGCCTTCTCACGGGTCTCCCTGCATCCATCCTCACTACCTCTATTTATTTCAGCACATTAGCTGGAGTGAGCATGTCCTTTATCCTCTCAAGGCCCTTCATAATCTACACCCTTCCCATGGCCCCTCTCACCTCATTTCCTGCTTCTATTGCTCTCTTGTTCACTCTCCTCCAGCAACTCTGGCCTCTTTGAACATGTCAGGTGAGTCCTGGCTTCCCTCACCTCTTTCATGTCTTTACTATAATGTCTTCTTGGTGAGACCCATCCTGGTCATTGTATTTAAAATTGCAAAAACCCTCAACTCCTAATCTTTTTCCATAGACTTTATGATCATCTAACATAAAATATGTGAGATACTCTTTATTTGCATATATCCCACCATTAGAAGATAAGGTATGCAAAAGACAGGGTCTTTGTTTTGTTTATTGATGTATCCAAAGATTCTAGGTGAGTACCCAGCATATAGTAGGTGCTTAGTAAATGTTTAATGGAATTAGATGACAGGAAATTGGATGGGAGCAAATGAAAGTCATCCACCTTGTAGTCAGTTAGTATTTCTGAGCTCTGGACTCAGCCTTATGTAAATTTCTAGACTGTTCCTAGTCTCTTTGGCCTCAATTTCTCTGCTTTTTTTCTGTTCTCTGCCTCATTAGAAGCTGGGAGCCCTGATTCTCCCCTCTAGAGGAAATGCTCAGCAACAAAAGGGTCAAGGCAAAGGTTCCAGTGACTGCAGCAGGAAACCCACATTTCATCTGGGCCCTGCTCCAGATTTGTTGAGTAACTTTATGCCGGTTACCTGCCCTCTCTGTGCCTCAGTTTCCTCGTCTTTCAATGAGGGGTCAGACAAGACCTTTCTGGTTCTGGCATCCTTTGATCTCAGAGCTGGAAGCAGGGCATGGGTGCTGCATACTTGTCATTCCTAGGGGCTTTATGGGGAAGGCATTTTCTTGCAGGATCACGCCTCAGACGCCCACTGTAACCTTTCTTGAGGAGACGGCGCCCACAGATCAATAGCTTGATTGGATGAAGGATGGGGTGGGGGTGGGGGCAATGCAACCAAGGTGACGGTCGTTTTTCATAGCCTTTCTGACAGGTCTCATGGTGCTCATGTGAAATACCACCTGTTAAGGATGAGAAATGAGAGTCCCCACCCCCAAAGAATAATTTCATGCCAACACCTAACACTTGATGATGAGAGCATGAAGCTAATATGACATAATACTGTATAATGGTATAGAGCAAGACTTATACCAGGGGAAGATATGGGGTAGGTAATTACTTATTATTTTAGAACAATAATAACTACTGTTTATTGAGTACCCTTATGTGAATTACTGCTACTAAGCACTTTTAATATATATCTTTTAATCTTCACAACAACCCTTTGAAAGCAGGTGCTACTGTTGTACTCATTCTATAGATGAAGGGATTGAAGCTCAGTTTCATAGCTTGTAAGTGGCAAAGTCAGGTTTTGAACCCAGATCACCAGGCTACAAAGGCTTACTCTGTTACTCTACATTGAGCTTAGCTGTTTAAGCTCCAAATTTGTGTTGTTATTGTTTTTTCTAATGTGAACAGATTTTTTTTTATATATATTTTTCTTTATTGATTTTAGGAAGAGAGGAAGGGAAAGGGAGAGAGAGATAGAAACAATGATGAGAGAGAACAACGATTGGCTGCCTCCTGCATGCCCTCCACTGGGGATTTGGCCCACAACCTGAGCATGTGCCCTGACTGGGAATTGAACTGGTGACCTCTTGGTGCATGGGTCAAAGCTCAACCACTGAGCCACACCGGCCGGGTGTGAACAGATTTATTTTATTTATTTATTTGTTTATCCTTACCCGAGGACATTTTTCCATTTTTTGTTCAGATAGAGTGGGAGGGAGGGAAGGAGAGAGAGAGAGAGAGACATTGAGAGAGAGACATTGATGTGAAAGGGACACATCAAGTGGCTGCCACCCACACGACCAGCCAGGGCCAGAGACAAACTGCAACCGAGGTATGTGCCCTTAGCGGGAACCAAACCCAGGTCTCTCTGGACCACAGGCCGATGCTCTAACCGCTGACCCAAACCGGCCAGGGCCAGATATTTTTTAAATGAAGATCAACTTGATTGCTTATGGAAACAAGGAGTTGGGAAGTCACATATTACACTTGAAGAGTCTGGGTTATTATCTGGATGTCAGTGGAAGGCCTGGGTATTGATGCAAATGAATGTAGTTGTAGGTTAGGAGGTTGATGCTTTGGGTATGTTAACAGTGGGTACTTGGACAGCTGTGACTCTTTTCTCTCTTTCCTGCTCTTAACTACCAAATCTTATAGCAGTGTTCTTGCTCTAACTTTCTCCCCCTTTCCCTTCTAATTAGCTGTGCATTGGGAAACCAGACAACCAAGTTCACTAGATGTATATGCAAGTACAAGTAATGAGGCTCTGAAATGAAACCCTTTTAGGAACAGACTGCTTGGGCTTTGTAATCCTGTATTATTACTACTCCAGGCCTTTTCTTTTTTTCCTTTGGAGCCTCAGCTGAATTTAACATAGTCCTGCCAGTTTGAGGAGATGATATGACCTTGGCTTCAGACATCTTGAAATTGAGGTACCAATGGGACAGTCCCATGGAGATGTCTCAAGTCAGAGCTGTGCTGACCAAGACCTAGCCACCAGCCACATGTAGCTATTGAGCACTTGAAATGTGTCTAGTATGAATTGTGACATTCTGTAATGTAAAATACACTTAGTTCAAAAAAGAATGTCAAATATCTCATTAATAAATTTTGTGTATATATATTTTAAAACATATTTATTGTTAAATGTTAAATTTTGTATATTGATTACATGTTGAGCCAAACATGATTCACTGATTATATGATGGTATTCAAAATAATATTTTGGATATATTGAGTTCAAACAACTATATTACTAAAACTAATTTCACTTTTCAATGTGGCTATGAGAAAATTAAAAATTACATAATGTGAATATAAATGTGGTTTACATTATATTTCTGTTGGACAGCCCTGGATTAAATTCAGCTGGGGTTAGGTGCTTCAAGGATTATCTGGGAGTCAAATGCATGGGGAGGAGAAGAGTTTGCTGACAGACCTCCAGGCCCTCTGCTCTACCTTCTTTCAGTCACAAGCCAGGCTGGCATTCTGAGGCTGCTCTGTGTCAAACCCAGGCCTTAGTGGGGATGGAACTGGGAGGTGAGACAGGGCTGAAGCGAGACTTATACATTCTTATCCATGGACAGTGGGGAGCCAGGCAGCACTTTTTTATTTTTAATCTTTACCTGAGGACACTTTTTTTCTATTTGTCTTCAGATAGAGTGGTAGGGAGGGAGAGAGAGGAAGAGAGAGAGAAACATCGACATGAGAGGAACACATCGACTGTTTGCCTCCTGCACCACTCTAACCAGGGCTGGGGACAAACTGCAACCAAGATACATGCCCTTGACCAGAATCAAACTCGCGACTCATTGGTCTGCAGGCCAAAGCTCTAAACACTGAGCCAAACCAGCCAGGGCCAGGCAGCACTTTTTTTTAATCCTCACCCGAGGATATTTTTACATTTATCTTCAGACAGAGTGAAGGGGGAGAGAGAGAGAAACATCGATGTGAGAGAGACACATCAATTGGTTGCCACCTGCATGACCCCAGCTGGGGCCAGGGACAAACTGCAACCGAGGTGAGGTACGTGCCTTTAGCCTAAAGCAAACCCGGGACTCTTTGGTCCGCAGGCCGACGCTCTAACCACTGAGCCAAACTGGCCAGGGCAAGGCAGCACTTTTGATTTGATGGATTTTGATGGAGTTACATTCCTGGCAATCTGCTTTTCTCACTTTGACTGAAGTGTGCCCAGGGGCTCAGAGGTTCAGGTAGGAGGCATGGAGGCGTGGATTGGCTTGTGGTAGGAGAGAGATGCTGAACTTGGAAGTGGGTGACTACTCCCTTCACCCTCTACTTATCCAGGTCCCTCCCATCCTGCAAATTTTAGCTGAAATTTCTCCTCCCTGGCCAAAGCAACTCTTGCTTCTCAAACTTCTGTTTCATGTACAGTTTGTACCACATCTTTTCTTCTGCTGGGATTAATAGAGCCTCACCATCCATAAGGGAAGGGGCCTTTTGCAAACATCCATGTTGTAAAATACCATACCATTTCTCCCATGAAATTTGGATGCCATAAAATTTGGATGCAGGGCACTTAGCTGGACACCAGTGTACACCATGTAGAATACAGAGGTGATCCTCAGGAAAATCATACATCACTGTCACAAGATTTTGATGTGTCATTCTTGAGAAAATGAGATAATGGCTACTCGGTGTAATATTCCAAGAGTGTACAGCTCTGTTCTCCAATTGTTCTGTTAGTCTTGTCTCCCTAACTCAACTGTGAGTAGTCAGCAGAATTGTCCTTCTCTTCTTGACCCTAGAGGACTGTACTGTCTACAGTGCTATATGAATAGATGCAGGTATCCAATGAATTAACTGTACAATGAATGTAAGCTCTATGAGGGCAGCAGAAATGGTGACTGTCAAGTTCAACATTGTCTCCTGGGTACATGACACATAGAAAGTGTTTAATAAATAGTTGTTGAATGAATAAGTGCAATGATCTGCACACCTTTATTTGAGGAATACAGATGTTTCAGTTGGGTTTTGTTAGCTGGACTGTATGTGGAAGAAAGGTCTAGTCACTTTGTTTACAGAATAAATCTTTAATGGAAGGTCGAGATTTTAAAGATGATAGTAAAGGCATAAACCCAAGACAAAACATAGTAGATTGGGTTCACATGGGTTGTTGGGAAACCATCTTCAGTGTTCTCTCAAAAATGATAAGTGGGAGTGGAAATAAAGGTAACTACTTTTTGTCTCCCCTTCTTTTCTCTATTTCGTCCTTTAGATTCACCAAAACCACCAGTTGCTCCCAAGCCAAACACTGCCAGTCCCCTCACACCAGTAACGGCACCCAAATTCCCTTCCTTACCCAGGCCTGACAGTCTTCACAGTCCCAACTCCATGTCAAGGGGGCCAAAACCCCCCATCGCTCCTAAGCCCAGGCTGGATACCCCCAGTGAGTGGAGAGCCAGTGTGTACATGATCAACAGCTTGAACAAATGCAGCAATGGGAAGCTGCTCTGCGTAGATAGGGGGCTTTATGAAGAGCAACAGTCCAACCTGGAGTGCTCCAAGGCCGAGGCCAGTGAGGATTACATCGTGGTCCCCAGGGCTCTGCCAAGAGAGGATGAACCCAGGGATGGGGACTCTATGGAGAATGCAGTCATAGTGCCTCCAGATGCCACTGGGAAAGAGGAATCCCAGGAGGGAAGTGAGGAGGAGGGAGCTGCTGAGGAAGTGGCTGAGGAAGTGGCAGCCCCAGCCGAAGTGGAACTGAGTGGAGAGGCTGAAGAAGGTGTAGCCCCCATTCCTGAGAACGTGGAAGCTGATGACTGTCCCCAAGACCCAGGGGCAGAGGAGCAGAAGTTCACAAGTGAGGAGGAAGAGAAGCTGGTGGAAGAACACAATGTGTACAACTTGGAGGACAGGGGCCCTTGGGATGGAGAGGCCGTCTTTCCGAGCGATATCATTCTAACTCAAGTCTATTTAGAGGGTTCAGAAGTACCTGGCAAGGAGCCTGGGCTTCCTGAGACACCCAGGGAGGCAGAGGAGGCTGATAAGGAAGGCTATGCCAACACAGAACCAGGGGCGACAGACGAATATGTGGATTCTGACAAGCCCACTGAGGAAGGTGCTCAAGACACCAGTGAGGAACCCCTGGAGAATGAGGGATTGGCCACAGGAATCCAGGAGGCGAAGATAGTCGCAGACAGCCCTGACATCTCTGAGGGAGAGTGTGAAGAGGCCACTGGCAGTGGCATCCAGGATGACCAGGATGAACCACCCGACCAAGAAGAGAAAACTGACCAAGAAGAAATGGCAGCAGTCACCCAAGAGGAGAGAGAGGATGCTCCAGAAGGTGAGGACTCCGTGCAGGAGGAACCTGCTGAGGAGAGCTGCCAGATTATTCCTTTTGAAAATGACTGTATGGATGACTTTGTGACTTCACTCTCAGGAAGTCCCTATGAGTTCTTCCCTACAGAGAGCACTTCTTTCTGTAGTGAAAGCTACTCTTCTTTTTCTGAGTCAGCGAAAGGCTTAGAGTCAGAGCAGGAAGCAAAGTTGGGAGAACATGCAGACCAGGACTCGGAGGCTGGAACTTTATGTGGCCCATGTGGCTCCCTGCAGGATGGCACTGGAGAGGGCCTCTCTCTCCCTGATGTGGTGGTCTTGCCAGAGGATGAGGATGCCACAGACGACGCCCTTACCAACCCCTATGAGATGGGAGCTGACTTGGTGTGTGGGACTGACCCTGGAGAGGGAGAAAAACCTGAGACACAGGCTGCATCAGATGCCCTAAGTGGTTATGGCTCAAAAGAAGAAGTGAACTCTGATGCTGAGGGCGGCCTCATCCTCATTGACAGGAAGAACCTCATCTCAAGGGTCAGGCCCCACTCTGGGAAGGTGGCTGGCTATGTCCCAGAAACTGTACCAGAAGAAACTGGACCAGAAACTGTCTCATCGTCAGCCATTGGCATTGGAAATGCCCCTGAAGAGGCAAGGAAGATGGTTCTGTCATTGGAGGGAAAGCCACCGGAAGCCAGCAGGGCCTTACCAGCAAAGCCCAGAGCCTTCACTCTATACCCTCGTTCATTCTCAGTGGAAGGCCGAGAGATCCCAGTCTCTGTGTACCGGGAGCCAGAGGCATCTGGCTTAGATGACCATCGAATCAAAAGGAAAGATGACAACCTCTCTCTGTCCTGTGTGATTGGCTCCTCAGGGAGTTTTTCCCAGAGGAACCACCTTCCATCCAGTGGCACTTCAACACCATCCTCTGTGGTCGATATCCCACCACCTTTCGACTTGGCCTGCATCACCAAGAAGCCCATCACAAAGAGCTCTCCCTCACTCCTGATTGACAGCGAGCTTCCAGATAAGCACAGCAAGAAGAAGAAGTCTTCCTTTAAGCGGTTTCTGGCGCTGACATTTAAGAAGAAGACCGAGAATAAAGTGCATGTGGATGTCAACGTGTCTTCTTCCAGATCCTCTTCAGAATCCAGCTACCATGGGCCTTCCCGGCTTCTGGAAATTGACCGCAGGAGCCTCAGTAACTCCCCTCAGCTGAAGGCCCGGACTGGCAAGCTCCGGGCTTCTGAATCACCTTCCTCCCTCATCTTCTACAGGGATGGCAAGAGGAAAGGTGTCCCCTTCAGCAGGACGGTGTCCCGAGTGGAGTCCTTTGAAGACCGTTCCCGGCCCCCCTTTCTGCCCTTACCCCTGACCAAGCCCCGGTCCATCTCATTCCCCAATGCTGACACTTCGGACTATGAGAACATTCCAGCCATGAACTCCGACTATGAGAATATTCAGATTCCACCCCGGAGGCCTGCAAGGGCTGGGACATTTACGAAGCTGTTTGAAGATCAGAGCAGAGCCCTGTCTACAGCAAACGAAAATGATGGCTATGTGGACATGAGCAGCTTCAACACCTTTGAGAGCAAGCAGCAGAATGCAGACCAGGAAGCAGAAAGGTACTGTGAAATTAGTTTTCTTTGTTGTTTAGCAAGTATAACTGTTCAAGAGGCAAGCTTAGATGTAGGGGACAGAGAGGGCTCTATTTCTTTATAGCTGTGTGACTCAAGATGAGTGGCTTGACCTCTCTGAGCCTCAGTTACATCATCTGTGAAATTGGATTCATGCTACCTCATGGCAGAGTGTTTGAGAAGATCAGAATAGATAATCTGTGTGAAAGTATCATCTAAAATGCTAAGTTCAGTACAAATGTGAGCATGTGTGTTTGCATTATTTGTGGGACATTTCTCATCTAGGTAGATGGCTTTGCTACTCCTCTCTGGGAAAATCACCAAAGAGAAGGTTCTGGAATCTTGCCAAACTAAATATCTTTCACCATCAGGAAAATACCCTAAATTGAGATTGATACCTTTTTATTGTGTAAATATACACTCTATTGAAGGGAACTAGAAAAGATAATTTATTTAATTTGTTTATAAAGCCAATGGTGCCCTGAGCTAAATTTCTGAATAGAAGTCTTTAAGTAGTACATCCAACCTGATTTTTTTTTTTTTTTTAATCATTCACTGTGGAAGCAAGAGTGAAATACTGAAATGGGGTGGGGGTGGGGGTTCTGACCCCACCTTCCCAAGACTGACTGAATGCCCCTATTGATCATCCTAAGTAGATAATTGCCAAATCTTGCTGTTCCTTGTACATTATGGATACAACTTAAAGACGATGCAATGAAATCTCAACCAGTTATACCCTTTTGGGGGTACCTGATCTAAATTAATGAAAAGCCAAAATGGTTGCAATTTTTAATTTTTTTTTTTTTTTATACTCACCAGAGGACATTTTTGCATTTATCTTCAGATAGAGTGGGGGGGCGGGGAAACATCAATGTGAGAGAGATGGTTGCCACCTACACAACCCCAACTGGGTCTGGGGACAAACTGCAACTGAAATACGTGCCCTTAGCAGGCACCAAACCCGGGACTCTCTGGTCCACAGGCCGTTACTGTAACCGCTGAGCCAAACCGGCCAGGGCGGTTGTAATTTTTAAAGAAAATCCTGATTCTTTCCTCTTGTGTGCACTAACTTAGCCCAGTCCCACACAGCTGTTGCTACTAGAACTTCCTAGGGGACTTGCAGTAATGAATAGATAAGCATGATTTGCAATTAGCATTAGCTGTCGCTGGAGTATAGATGCTAGAAGTGTTTGTATGGTTTATTCTCTTGAGTTTTTTACATGGTTCCCCACCCTGGCTCTGTCTTCTCCCTACCCTGTGCCCGGCAAGGCTGTTATTAATTAGTTCTTTCTAGGATGAAAAGGTTTGTTTGCTGGAGCAGAGGTAAACACCAACACTGTTGGAGGGACCAAGTTTAGTTTGGAGAATGTGCATGTGTGGAAACTCTTAGAGGGAGAAAGGGGCAGAGGTGACAAGGTCATTGCATTAATGGTTATCAGCAGGGTTTGATGAGACCTAACCCTAGCTGAGTGCCTCCTAGCATTAATGAAAATAGAACCAAGCTTTAAAACCATAAAATCTCCATGCTGAAAAGCATCTCAAAGGGCATATGGTCAAACCTCCCACCTCTAACAGGTTTCTCTCTTAACACAGTCTACTTGAATTTCTCAAGCCACAGGGAACTCATCACCTCCCAGAGCTGCCTTCTCTGTTGCTAGGTACTCTGATTACGTTTTTCTTTTTGACTGAGGCAAAAGCTATTTCCCTCTAATATTCCTATCTCACTCATGCTGGCTCTTCCCTCTTGAGTCAGGCAGGTGAGCCCATTTCCTCTTTTGTATGACAGCCCTTCAGAAATTGAAATCTGTTTCTGTAGAATCACAGAATTTTATGGTGGGTGGGGACCTTCAACCAACATTTGGTCATGTTACAGAGGAGGAAATTGAGGTACAGAGAAGGAAAGAGACTTGCCAAGGGTCTCTCAGCAATTTAGTGGAGAAATCAGTGCTAGGACTCAGATTTCCTGACTCCTTCAGGAATTTGCAGTGAATTATGCAGCGGGATGCCAAGTTTGGTTGTGCATGCAGCATACTGTACAAGCCTGGATCAGTGGTGCCCTCTGGGATTGTGCATTGCACAGGCTGTTTGGCCATATGCAAAGGCCCTGTTATCTTGATCTGTAATTTATCCAACAAACAAATAAACAAACAAAAAAGATTCCTTCACTCAAACTAACATAACAATAAGGGAATAAAATACCCAAGAAAATGTTAATGCTACTGTATCTTGACTGCTTACTGTGTGCTAGGCACTGTGCTAGGTGCTTTGCCTGCATATCTCACATTTGATGCTGCCGCAGCCTGGGGCCTTGGTTGAGTATCCTATCAGACTCTGAATTTCCAAAACACTGTCCCCAACTCTGATACTATTTCGCCGAAAGCCAGACTGACTGGGATAAATCTCCCATGCAGGAACCGCATCCTCTTGGAAATCAATCAGTGAACAAAGCTTTCTTCCGTTTTCCTGCATGAAACAGATGGAAACAGAGGGGGAGAAAAATCCCTGCTTTGGGCTAGAACAGGTCTGGGCAAGGGAGGTTTCAGACACATCAAGTTGAGAGGCACAAGGGATTGCCAAAGGGGTGGGGGCCCCACTGCTGCTTTGCCTGAATGAGAGCTTTGAGAATGCAATGGAGGGGTGCTGCTGATCTGAGACAGGAGCCCCCAGGGGTGCTTTGGGTTGGATGGGACCAGAGGGTGGGGAGGCAATTCCTTCCTCCTCCTGCTACTTGTCCTGCCCCATACCTTGCTTGAGTGTGAGGATCAGAGGCAGACGCCAAATAAATATCAACAGTCCTGAAAAAGCATAGGACTATACATCAGGTGATATGAGTTCAAAGCCTACTCAGTCACTGACTTGCTGTGGGATCTTGGAAAGGGCTAGGCCACAGTTTGCTCGTCTGTAAAATGGTAAGATTGGAGCAGATTTGTATTTTTCAATCATTCACCTTTCCTGTACCACCTTTATATTTCTGTTATCCCACCTATATTCTCCCTTACTTACTGTCTTTCAAACAGTACATCATTTTTACTTTACAAAAAATATTTAGAAAGGAAATTTTATGTCACTGTTAGGAAGTGGAAAAACAGTATCAGTTGCCATAAATAGAAGGTAATTGTACAAATAAGATACAAAGGAAAAGAAAATAACAGGTGAAATCTAGCTTGAGGTCATTACTTGCCAAGGCTGAGCTGGAGGTTTGGTCCCTTTGTTAAACAGGGAGAGTGTTAAAGACATCCTGGCACCACACAGAGACTTTCTACTTGGCATAATCCAAAGGATTCATAAGGACTGAAAAGTGGTGTGATTCAATGTTATTTAAATCCAAGTCCTTTTCCACTAAAAGTACCTCCCTTCAAGAAAGGGCAGAATATATAATAGAATTCAGAGAGCCCTTAGGGACCCCTAAATCAGAGCAACAGCTGCGGGGCTAATGGATGATGATGATAAAGTTTCTTCTAGGCAGTTACTTCCTCTGAGATTTGTATACACAGATAATAACATTTTAGGAGCTATAATAATATTCTTATTAACAATTTTCTGTCTTGTAAAATACAATTATATAGACACACATTACCTATGTACATTTTCCCCATGGTATACAAAAACGGTTTTGTCATCCTTTAAATTGTATCCATAAACATTCTTTTTCCCTAAATTGACCCTCTTGGAAAAAATAAAAAGCACTAGAGATATAGTCCAGCATTTTTACTTTTCAAATAGTAAAATAGGATATTTTATGTCTTCAGTCAAATAGGATATTTTATGTCTTCAGTCAGTGCTGTTGGTTGGGGGAACCTAGGCTTTGAATATCCATGGCACCTCAGTTGTTGGTTATGTACTAGGAGCTTAATAAATGTATGTTGATGACCAGGGGTTTATGATTCCGTGCAAGTAGGTGATTTTGAGTTTCACGAGGATTCTGGATAGAACTCTCTCTCTCTTTCTTTCTTTCTTTCTTTCTTTCTTTCTTTCTTTCTTTCTTTCTTTCTTTCTTTCTTTCTTTCTTTCTGGATTCTGGATAGAACTCTCTCTTTCTTTCTTTCTCTCTCTCTCTCTCTCTCTCTCTCTCTCTCTCTCTCTTTCTTTCTTTCTGGAACTTCCTTCCTTCCTTCCTTCCTTCCTTCCTTCCTTCCTTCCTTCCTTCCTTCCCTCTCCTCTCTCTTTCTTTCCCTCTCCTCTCTCTTTCTCTTTTCTTTCTTTCTCTCTTTTCTTTCTTTCTCTCTTTTCTTTCTTTCTCTCTTTTTTTTCTTTCTCTCTTTTCTTTCTTTCTTTCTTTCTTTCTTTCTTTCTTTCTTTCTTTCTTTCTTTCTTTCTTTCTTTCTTTCTTTCTTGTTAATTCTCACCCAAGGATATTTTTTTCCATTGATTTTTAGAGAGAGTAGAAGGGAGGGAGGAAGGAGGAGAGAGAGAAAGAGAGAGAAAAACATGAATGTGAGAGAGACAAATCAATTGGTTGCCTCACGCATGCGCACTGACCAGGGCTGGGGTTTGAACATGCAACCCAGGTATGTGCCCTTGATTGAGGAATCAAACCTGAGACCCCTTGTTGCATAGGCCATTGCTCTAACCACTTAGCACACTGACCAGGGCAAGAACTATTATTTATTAAGAACCTATCTTTGACAACCACAGTGCTAGTGCTTTGCATTTACTTATAAAATACCCATTGATGCAAAACACTACAAAAACTGGTTTGTCCTAAGTGTCTCATTTAAAGCCTCATAATTGTGTGTCTGGTTTTTGTTTGTTTGTTTTGCATGATGTTAAGTCTATCTTAATCACAGCATTATACATCAGCACAAATCTCTGATGCCAGTTTTCTGCAACACTGTATAATGAAAACATTCAAACTTACAGAAAAGTTGTTTTTACAGTGAATGTTCATATGGTCAACCGATTGGATATACCATTAACATACTGCCACACTGACTTTCATCTCTTTCTGTCCAGCCATTCATTAATGCATATTGTTTTTGATGCATGTA